TTTCAGCTTCGTTTGATTTGATATCATAGGTTATAATACCTTGATCCAATTGATTAAAAGTAGTGGTTATTTGTAAAGCTCAAGTAACTTCTTGAATTATCAAAATAATAACGTATAGCCGTTAGATTTCATTATTATTAAGTCATCAAAAAGGAAAAAGGCTATTCCTTTTTCTCAAATAAAAGTCATACGTTTATTGGTCGTACCTGAAGACATGGGCGGATTTAGGGAGGCGCAAGGGTGTTCACCCGAACACCCTTCGCTGAAAAATTACACTAATATATAAGGCAAAATCTGTTTTTTATCTCTATATATTAAGTTTTGAACACCCTTAACATAATCCAAAAGTGTAGTTTAGTGGTCAAGGGGGTTCAAAATCTATATAAGATCATGAGTTCAATTCCTACTAGCTACAAAATAATTTTTTGAACCCCCTTCGTGGAGATCCTGCCTCCGCCACCGCCTAAAGATAGCTACTTAACAAATGAAACTATTTCAAATGCAGGAAACAGTTGATCGAACGTATTATTACTTATTTTTCGTACAATTTTTTTTTTTTTTTTTTTTTTTGTTTCCATGGTAAGATTTGATTTGTTCAATTATGTATTCTTTTTATATGAAAAGTAACAAGAAAAGTCAAAAAGGCGCAATGAGAATTCATTATTAAAATTCGAGTTTATCTGGAATTAAAGTTATCCTTTTTACCTTATTTCTTTTCTCGAAATTTATAATTTCTTTTATTTCTTTTCTCAGTTAAACATTTTTTGAACCTATAGACTTAACCAAGAGTAGAGAAAATGTAGGCCTTTCGAGAAAATGCTTGTTGTAGTAGATTTTTATATTGTACTTTTAGGACCCGTTTGACCATAGATTTTGCCAAAATAAACTTGAGTTTTATTTGGCAATCACATATTTGGCCATAAATTTTGCCTATATTTTGGCAAAATCTCAAATTCCAAGTTCCAAAACCAGCTCAATAGCTTTTTTTGGGCCAAAATATTTACAAACACTAATAATATACATATTTTTTCAAAACAAATATGGAAAATATGTTTTGAAAACGTATGTCCAAACACATTTTCATTTCCAAATCAGATTTTTCAAAACAAATTTGGGAATCTATGACCAAACACTAGCTTAAACTATGTGTTTAAAATTCCATATTTGATGATATTATAATAAAAAATTTCATATATATTTATGATTCAACCTATCAAATATATAGTATGCCCCTCTCTGATTTAACTGCTTATACTCCAAAACAGACGCACATTCTCCAACTGCAATCTCACATCAAGTAATTCCACGAGTACATATGCCTCTATATTAATTTGTATGTATCGATCGTGTACATAATTTTTATGCTTAATGCTCAAGATATATAGTTTGATTGGTTCGACCTATTCTCTTTCTCGTCGGTTAATCTATTATTGTGTTTTTGTTACTGCTTGCTGTTATTGTGATTTTTCATTTTTCTTGAGCCGAGGGTTTATCGGAAATAACATCTTTAATTTTACAAGGTAGAAATAAGGTTTGTATACATTCTACCCTCTCCAAATACCACATACTGAGTTTATTATTGTTGTTCTTGGTCAGGCCTATCCTTTCTATATTATCATTCATACGCACAATAAATTAATACAGTCAGACCTCTTTATAATAGTATTCCTATATAACAATATCTCACTATAAAAGTCAAACTTTTCCGAAACCAATTTTTAAGTTATATTATAATATATGTTCTCTATAACAGCACTTCGCTAAACATCCAAAAATATTTAGAACAAATAAGGGTATTATAGAAAGATTTGACTGTACATATAATGAAATTAGTCATATTGCACTCATGATCAAATTTTTTCTCGAGGGTTGTGAAAAATCTTATCCTAACCATGGGAATGGAGAAAGTAACTTGAAAATATAATTTGATTTTACCGCAACATTTTTAAACTCTTCTTGATAAAACAACATAAAATGATTTTAATTTTAGTTTATAATAAGATAGTCGATAAAAAAAGTATATACATGAACCTTTGACTTTTTTATACCATTGACTTTTTCAAATACCTATTTTACCCTTAGATATCAACCTTCGTCTTTTTTCCTTTTTTTACTTTTTAAAACCAGGATATTTTTCTTTTATTTTTAAAATTTATATAATAAAAGTATCTGTAGAAAGAAGAAAAACTATTTCTAAGACGAAAAAGAAGAGTGAGAAATAACAATTAAATAATATGTTATATAATAAAATAAATGAGTAGAATAAAAATAATTTAATTTTATTTATAGCAATCGAAGATCTAATAAATATTTATACAGTGACAATAAGAGTGAGTAAAGTTCTTATAAATATATTTCAATGCAAGTAATACAAAATAATTAATAAAATAGAGAGAAATTTATAACAGAATTCTATATAGATAAATGAGTTTTGATCGTCATTAATAAATAAATTGAGATAAATTTTATAATAGAATTCTAAAATCTATTTATATTGTAAATGTATTCTAAATCATAATTTAAAAATTATTTCATTAATAACGATCAAAACTCATTTATCTATCTATATATAGATGATAGAGAATAAGAGAGAGTGAAACATAAATATACGTGTACGCCCACACACACACACACACACACACA